GGCTGCTTTGATCATTGTCATTTCCTTAGCGTGCGTGCGTGTGTGCGTGCGTGTGTGTGTGTATGTTGCATAAGTGTTATTTTGTTCCCTGGCTGACAGGCAATGGTTCCATGCGTGTGTTTATGCAAATGAGCATGTGTATGTATGTATATATGTGTGTGTGTGTGTGTGTGTGTGTGTGTGTGTGTATGAATGTGTGTGTGTTGAAAAAAAATCTACATAGTTAGATACATTTCCAAATTGCAGCATTTTTGATTTGCATTCTGCTACATTGCAGCCCTAATAAAAACACAGCTTTTTTTTTTTTTTTTTTTTTTTTTTGGGCTTTGTCAAGGCAGAGTCGTCGCTGGTGGTACGAATGCCTGCCAGTGTGATGAAAAATGACCCTGAGGCAGATGATGCTGTCTCCGGCACAGTCTGCTTCCTCTCTGCCTCTGCTGTCATCTTCCTCTCCGTCTCCCAGGCTCTTGTACCTCAAATGTAACGGCAAGCATTATGTCACATTTCTCTGCCCCCTTCCTCTATCTCGCCGTCGGTCTTCTCTTCGTTCCACCGGCGGTCCTCCAATAAGCCGCGAGCACATAACTCCTGCTGTGGCGTCCCTTCACTGGCTCCCTGTACATTTGGGAGTTCTTTTCAATATTCTAATGTTTGTTAACAAATCTTGGAATAGTCTGGCCCCACCTTACCTCTCTGAGCTCCTCCACGGCAACGCACCTGCCCGGTGCCTCGGGGGTCTGCGGACCAGACGCTATTCGAGGTCGCGCGGACTAAGCCGAGGCTCGGAGGGGATTGAGCTTTTGACTCAGTATGAGACTTGGTTGTAGTTTGACTGCTTTTGTGCATTTTTGATGTTCTAAATGTATTGTTTTATTGTTTGTAATCATTGTAAACATAATGAGACCAAAGATGAACGTGAGCTATAACCTTGACAGCCCCATTAGCATTGTTAGTTAGTTAGCATTGAACTTTATTGGGGTTAATGAGAGGCACGTTAAATGTTTTACAAATCAGATTCGTTTTTGAGTCTGATTGGTTAATTCTGAACACAGCCAATTATAAAAGGGTGTGCACACTTATGCAACCAATTGACTTTGTGTTTAGTTTGACTTCCTGTCTCGAAATGATTGATTGATGTATTTTATTCATTTCCAATTGAGTCATACTGGTTGTTGGTCACATGAATGGTGTAAGAAGTTTTGAAATGATTTATTTTGGTCTGAAAAACCTGCCATTTAAACAGGGGTGTGTAGATTTTAGTTTTTTGTTTTTTTTTAATACCCACTGTGTCAAAGGCAATGAAGAAAGGTGCGCAAGAGTCTCCGTTCAGATGAGCGACAGTCGTTGAGAATGAGCCCGGCGTCGGGAACGAGCGCTCGGAGGCCGATCTTCCGTAATGACTTTTTGATGATGCGTCTGTTTAATTAATTAGCCTTAGAGTAAGTACTCTCTTTATGTTAGGCCCCTGAAATCAAAAAGCTTCCCTGGGAACGGGAGGAGTCGGAGCAAATGAACAGTTGAGAGCCTTCTCGAATCTGGCTATGTATGTTATTTTATTCCAAAAATGCCATCTTATCATTTTTCTGTCCTTTGATTGGTTGGATGGAGCAAAAGACTTATGTAGCAATTTGCAATTAATAATCTGCGTTTCTGGTGAGTGGAATGTGTTTTTGTTTTTGTTTTTTTATATTATTAGCTGGTGTTTTCAGAGTTGTCACATAGGCCTCTTCGGAGGCCCCGGTGTTTCAACGGAGACCATAAAAGAGCAGTTTCATTATTTTGTCAAATGACTTTTCAAATAATAATCTGCTCCCTGTCATGTCTCCCATAACGCTGACAGACCGAGCCATTAAATACTCCATACCTGTTCAAATCAATTACCCCCCCTCCCCTTCCTCCCTTCCGACGCAAGTGCCCAGCAGCGCTGTCAAGAAGCCACTGAGCTAATGGGTTTTGCTTTCCCCGAGATCAGACGGGATCAAAACCTTTTCCGTGGCAATTAAGCCCACCGTGTTTTTGTCAAATTCTACCCAGCGCCGACGTGCGACGCCACTGTACTTCGCACGCTGAGAGCGCCCTTCATTTTTGTCCCGAGAGCGCTGCAGAGGGCCAATTGACCCGCGGGTTAAAAGCGCGACATGTAACGAGCTTTTATGTAAATGAGGGGAGGTAGGGACACGGGTGACTTGTGTAGCTGAGCTACAGTGACTACTACATGGAAATCTAGTTTAGAAATAACCTTCTGATGGTACAAGTTTTATTGAAGAAGGTAAAACAACGACAGAAATTCCAAACTATTTAGATTCCAGATGATATGTCGTCGGTGCTTTGTTTGTTTATTATGGGTTATTAGTTTAGTTTGTACAATTTAGAGTACAGTGGTACCTCTACTTACAAACCTCTCTTCATACGAAATTTTCAAGTTACGGAACGCTTAAACAGGAAAACGTGTCATTGTGTGTAGATAGAATGTGTTTATACAGCGTCATCGTCATTCGCCCCTCAGGCCTTTCGATAGTTTTACGTAAATGTGAATCAGCCAGAAAAAGTGTTCACCAGTCGGGCGATCGCTCACTATGCTGATGTTTACGTTGGACATTTTCGAAGGATTGTTCACAGCCGACAAAAGCAAACGTCCTTGGATCGGTTCGTGACAAAACCTTGGAACGGATTAGGGCATTTACATGGAAAACGCGTCTCTACTTACAAGATTTTCTAGTTAAGAAATGACTTCCAGAAGCAATTAATTTCGTAAGTAGAGGTACCACTGTATAATTAGTACCTTGTTGTTCCACAAAATGAAATGCAGCTGAATCAACCCCTTCACTGCCCTCGATGTTGATATTCAGCAACTGGATTCCAAACATTTCTGAATGTATTTGATAAGTATATCTTTCAAAACGTGGCATCTTACACTCGAACAGCATATCTATATGTACGGTATAGTTGCCACATGTGTCGTGGTATGTAAGAGAGAGAAAGCGTGTGTGGCCAAACTGTGAAATGATGACGCAATTCATTGAGCGTTTAAAAAAAAAAACCCTGGATGTGCAACTTGATCCGTGCAGCAAATCAGCGTCACGCAGGGTGTTTCGTGGTTGTGTATCTGGACATAACATATAAGTCTTGTTTTTGTCCTATTCGATTTATATTACGTCCGGGGCTTATTATGTTGTCACGGAAAACAATATATTCTGTGGGTCTTGAAAAATGCGTCCACATACTTGGAAACGACTCACAATATGGGCAATTCTGCTCTGAACACGGCTGGCAGTGAACAAGTTAAGCAAATGGCAAACGGATGATCACTGTTTTACACTAACTACTTGTTTCCTTAGCGCTTGGTTGCCTCGCTGAACGTCGGCAAACAAATGTCTTACGCAAATGTTGTCTTTAAAGGTCTTAATACGCTGTTCACACCAAAGCCAAATCACTTTTTATTATGCACCGAGAGACGTTTGTTTGCGATTCCCGGCTCGTAATTAAATTTGGATTAATAGCCCGGAGCTTTTCTCTTCTCCTCCCTCTCGTTCGACGACAGAGGAAATGTAATTAAAAAGTCACCTCTGCGGCGGCATATCACACAAGAAATCATCGGGACATCGGGAAGGAGAAACAACGCGTGAGAAGTTCATGATCCCATGACTTCGGATCGCGGGTGCATGCCGAGCCAATATGTTTCATGCATAAGGTACGGGAGGCTAATGCACTTGTGGTGTCGTCAAAACGGGTGTCAAGAGCGCCAGTTTGCGTCCGACTCCTTGCCCAAGGTGTCGGACATGTTGGCCTCACGTCACGTGTATAGCACAACATGCGGCGTCGCTCACTTTGCCCGCCGCGGGCCTCATCTCGCTTGAGGTTCGATGGATAGAACACTGGCTAGCTAGCTAGCTTAGAAAACTAGCTAGCTTAGGTAGCTAGCTAAACAGCTAGCTATCTTAGATAGGTAGATAGATTGATAGATAAAAACAACCATTTTTTTAGTGTGTTTCTAATGAGGAAAAAAAATTCTAATTAGCTAGTTATCTTTGCTACTCGGGTAATATTGTACTTTATAAAAACATGACTAGAGCACCCAACATTTGTGTCCGCTATTTGTTTACTGTTTTACCAGAGAATCTTGAATCAAGTCTTGTAACCTACTAACTGAATTTTTGCTGAAAAACATGCCATAGTCCCAGAAATTAAAAATCAATCATTGATCATGATGCTAAAAAGAGTTCACTTCTGTAGTTTTTTTGTCTTCAACATTTGTTGTCCAAAGTGCTTCACCAAGTCCCATATTCACGTTTTTGAAAGCCAATCAGAATACACACAGCCGCGCTAACGCAGCCCCGTCAACCTACAGAAGGGTTCCTTTTTAGTTTAAAACAGCTTATTTGAACCTCCAAGATCCCTCGCCGTACACTGACCAATGACAGAACCCAGAATGTTCTTTTGCACCAATTTTAAATCCATCTACTTTAGGTTTTACCAGCTGCTAACTAGCGATAAACGTTTTTCTTTTTTTTTCCGTCTCCTTTGCTAGGTCAGTGTGACAGGCCAACAGCTAGTAAACAAAGGCGTTCTTACACTGCCTAGCTGGGCCTGGGCTGTCTCAATTCTTCTCTTACATCATCAGTACAGCACTAATATTGGTCGTTCTACGTCGAGGATAAAGAACGAAGGATGTTGAATCCGGTTATATTGTCTCCATATTTTTGCTGAACAGTTTGTGTTCAATTTATTTCTTACAGGGTTCAAGCACTGCAACATTGTTGCCTATTAGCGTTACCATTAATCTCGTAATCTGGTTGATTTACTTTATGAATATACCAAGTGTCATTCTCTTTGTACTCCCTTTCTCAGAGTGCGTCCTATAGTGAATTGTGTTGAGTTTGTGACTGCCACCGTACGACATTTGCACTTCAAAGCAAAAAAATAAAATAAAATCGCTCGAACGTCTGGTATCGCGACCAACTCACGTATTTCTCACCTGCGTCTTTGCCGTCGATGCACAGGTGGTTCTCGTTGGCTCGTCAATGAACGAACGGGACCAGATGCTGTTCATCAGCACCGATGAGGGCTCCTCCTTCCAGCGACAGAGCGTGGTCTTCACCCCAGCAACGCTGGTCTTCCACCCCAAGGAGGAGGACAAGCTCCTGGCCTACTGCAAGGACGGGCGGGTGCGCGATGAGACATTTTCGGATGAGCTCCAATGCACAAAATGTCTGACTTTGACTCTTGTGTCGCCAGCTGTTTGCCTCCACGGATTTGGGCCGCAAGTGGACTTTGCTTCAGGAGCGAGTGACCAAGGACAGAGTATTCTGGTCAGTTCAGTCGCCTTTTTGGTTTTTTTGTTTGTTTGTTGTTGGGTTTTTTTTGTTTTTTTTTTTTGTGAAACTCTCATTCTGGACAGTGGGGAATGAATGAATGCGTTCTCCTGTTACTTCCCATGCTACCAATTTTGCTAATTGCTTGTAAACTGGAAAGGAGAACAAATGAAATGAAGTGCTTTGTTTACCCTCAATACTGACACGCATATGCTTTCTTCAAGGCATATACTGTAAGTGTGCGGTTAATAGTGCGTGAGAGAGACTCTGTGTGTGTGTGTGTGTGTGTGTGTGTGTGTGTGTGTGTGTGTGTGTGTGTGTGTGTGAGTGAGACTGGCTATAAGAGTGTGTGTCTGTATGAGTGTCTGAGCGAGTATGCAGAAGTGTGAGACAGAATGTGCGCATCTCTGGGATAGTGGGAGAGTGCATGTGTGTGAGAACACCTTGTGAAAGCATTTCTCTGTGTGTGTGTGTGTGTGTGTGTGTGTGTGTGTGTGTGTGTGTGTGTGTGTGTGTGTCTCCCAGGTCGGTAACAGATGTGGATGTGGATCCTGACCTGGTACACATGGAGATGCAGGACACAAGTGGAGGTACAGCTTTTTTTTTTTTTTAAATAGTTGTCAAGATGATGCTGTAAAATGAGCAAAAGGCAGGAAGTTCATTTTCCATCTCATTTGTTGGCATCCCAGCCGTGCTCGACCTTGTTGCGCACACAAAACGTCACGCCAGAATAATGCTGAGGGCCACAACGGCCCGTGTAGATAGCAGTATCAGCTGACTAGCAGATGGACTGGTTAGCACCTAACTCCCCTCCTGGGGCAACGCAGGCGAGTGCGTGCGTGCGTGCGTGTGTGTGTGTTAGATTTGTCAACCACAAGCGGAACTCATCTACTTTGTGTATCCTAATCCGTAATCTCTGTCAATAAACCTGAGACGGCAGCACTCCACCATCCCATCTGGACTCATAAATCGCAAGCCGGGAGGTTCAAGTCCTGAGAGGAGAGTTAAAAAGTTCTCAGGAAAGTAAATGTGCAAGTAAGGAAGAGAAAACTGCACAAAGATGCTGCCTGGAATGTAAAAGGTGTCAACCCTCAACAGGCCTGCCTTTGTGGGTGGACGGCGAGAGGCCGTCCACCTGGGCCTGCTGCCCAGGCAGCGGAGCTCTTTTCTGGGGCGAGGCAACGCCACGTGGTCCCCTTCTCCCACTCCGCACCGGCGCAATCGGGCATGCCAAACCGATCTGTTTGCCCACGTGCCCTTCTTGTCACAAATGGCTCTGCCAAGGTTAAACGGCGGCCTGCTGCAAAGGAATCGGGTTCCAAGCTTGGGCGCGGGTCCCGAGCCAGCTCTCCTGGGCGGGACGGAGGATGGCCGATTGATGGCTGGGGGCACGTGTGAGCTGCATGAAGGCTGGCAGAGAGTCTTTCTGTAGACCGGGCATCCTCATTCAGGAGACGGATGATGTGCAAGAAGATTTGTCCACATAAGAGGAAGCAACTTCGGAATAGCTGTCCACTGCTGTGGAAAGGGTTAATATTTCGTTAATGACGCTTTTCTTCTGCCGTGTTGAAGCGTTTGTACTCATTGACCCTCTTTGTTTGCTGGACGATAAATCAGGTCTTTATTATATTCTGTGTAACTTGGACATAGCAAGGTTTCACACTCTATCCTTCAGTTCAAAGCTTTTTTTTTTGGGTGGGGGGGACGTGTCATTACAGGTTACCTGTATGTGACCTGTCTCATCCAGAACTGCTCCGACAAAATGGTGACCGCTCAGTTCTTGGGGAAAATCGACCACAATTCTCTGTCGGTGCAGGGCGACTACATTTTTGTCAAGGTAATGCGCGGCACAAAAACAACAGCGCAGACTTTCATTTTCTTTTCGTGGCCTTACAGCAGACCAATTCGCCGTCTACGGTGCTCTCGAATAAAAATAAACGTCTGTCCAAAGGAAAAAGTGCTGATTGCTTCCACTATAATGGATTATTTACCGATATATCCACAGTGAAAACTGTTGTGGAAATCTTATCGAGCCACTGTGTTTTTGATGTGTCTGTAGAACACTCTGATTACGACACACCGGAAATCATCTCACCTTGTCTGTAATGGACTTTCGGCCGTACACGCTGCGCCACGCAATCCTATTTGAATGCGACAGATAACGGCCGGCTTACTCTGTTGTTATTGTTGCTGCGTCCCTTCAGTGTAATAGTATCATCTTGTTCGGTTCTGTTTGTGTCATTTTCCCAGGTGACCACAGGGAATCGCACCAAGCACTACGTGTCGTATCGACGCAACGAGTTTACCCAGATGAAGTTTCCCAAGTATGCCTTGCCAAAGGTAAAGAAAGTTTGATGTCTTCATACCGTTAGCCTGATAGCATAAGTCAGGGGTGTCAAACTCATTTTTGTCGCGGGCCACATTGTAGTTACGGTTTATCTTGGAGGGCCGTTATAAATTTTGGAAACCATATAAATGCATTTTAATCCCCTCCACATATTACATACACAGCGCACAGCAAATGGCTGAATAACTAGTTTTAAAATCAGATGTCAAGAGTAATGACTGTTATTGTGGATTACATATGACAATTTGAAATTTTGGTTCAGACTTTAGCGAGCATCATGGAACTTGACATGCTTGATCTGCTTTCGCGGGCCACATAAAATGATGTGGCGGGCCAGATCTGGCCCCCGGGCCTTGACTTTGACACCTGTGCCATAAGTCATTTTTAAGTTATTGTTTTTTTTTTTTTTAATCTGTTTTGTTTTTTCCCTTGTTTTCCCAAAACATTCACATATGACAACCGTGCTATTAGGCTAAAGATATGGTGGCTAATAAAAAAAAAAATCATAAACCATTTACCGTAATTTCTTGAGTGTGCTCTTCCCTCCCTACCCCCCACCCCCCCAAAAAAAATCATCCAAAATCAAGGGGATATATTTTACACAAGTACACACAAAATTACAAAAATTTGTCACATTGTATTGACGTTTAGTGGTGCCTAGAGGTTGTGGGGAGGCAGGGGTGTGCTGGAATTTAATTCCAGTCCCAAAAGTTTCAGGACCCCTACTTTGAAGAGAAAGAAATGAGCACATTTTTCACTTTTTCAGCACTGAAAACCGCAGGCCTCATAATGGAGGGTGCCATGACGCATTGGATTTACAGAGCTTTGGCCAGTTTATGAGGTCTCAGTCAAGTTGGGAGCAAAGGAGCTGACTTTCACAAGATTTCAATCGACCTCACCCCTTCACTGGGCAGCTTCCACGCTGGCCACATTTGCCGTATTGATCACATTGATCCCAGGATTCGCACGTTGTTGTTTTGGACAGTGTTCCCCCCACCGCTACTCAAGAAGGGACAAATGCAATGCCCTCGTGTGGGATGGCGAACCACAGTTGCTGATCTACTTCTCAAGGTCAACTTGATTGTCAAATATGCTTAATGTACAACATACAGCACAGATGAAATGTCTTTCCTCTTGATCCCCAGTGCAAACATGCAGTGCATTAAAACACACAGCTAAAAATAAGGCAGCGAAAACTAAACTGTATAAAAAAAAAAAAGACATAAATATGTAAATCTAGACAATATAAACAATAAATAGCAATGAACAGTCAACACACAACCAAGGGCACTTGTGACTTGCGGGTTAAGGTTAAGGAGTGCATTGTGGAATAAGCGGATGTCAGATGCTGAGGGGAGGGTCACAGTCTGTGGCAGGACTGGTGGAAGAAACTGTTTTTGAGCCTGCTGGTTCAAGCACAGAGATTCTGCAATCTACTCCGCGACGGCATTTATTGAAGTGCAGAAAAACAAAAACACTCAAATAGATGCCTATGACTATTTTGTTGTCTGTCTACATGTGTTGATGCACTGTTTGTGTTCAAATATCTGATTCTATTCATTAGCTGGAAGGGGCACAACGGCTTGTGCGTATGTGCGTGCGTGTAGAGGGTGTGCATCTCTTGGTTCGACTTGGCGTGTGCGTGTGTGTAGGGGGTGTGAATCTCTTGGTTCGACTTGATGCAATCACGCCTTTTAAAACTTCTTACATCAATTCGATTTGGCGCAACTTTGCTCCAACAAATGGGTTCATTTCACGACATTTAGTTAAATAAGCATTTGCATGTCAAATGCAAGAGTGATTTCCACCGGCCCGCTAAAATGCCGGTCAGGGCCGTGAAATATTCAGAGCGTCGATGGAATGGCGTTTCGTGTCGGCAGCTTACGCAATGACGATTAAACTTGTTTGGCTCAGACGTGACGCGGCGGCGGCGGCGGCGGCGGGGGAGCGCTTGATGCCGCCACGCAAGCCTGAGTACTATTGAAGTGTGCTGATTGAACGCGGCGCTCGGGGAAATGTATTTCAAGCGACGGAAAGGCGGGCTGAGGGGAATAAACAACTTGGAGCCAATCACTGCCATTGACACGCTGTCAGGCATTCAAGCGGCTTTGATGACAATACGGATACGATGCGTTTTGGTTTACACAGCGGTCACTCATAACAAAATAGCCTCTGTTTAGGCTTTCTCTTTATGCCGTTTACGGTTTCTTCGTTGCAATGGTGGTCAATAACCACGCTGTGATTTTGCATAACGTAAAAAGTAAACGCAATTGTTGAGATACGTCATCAGTCGTGACCTCTTTTCCCACTTAGGATGTTCAGATAGTGAGCACGGACGAAGAGCAGGTTTTCCTGGCTCTGCAGGAGTGGTACCAGACGGACACGTACAACTTGTACCAGTCGGACACACGGGGGGTCTATTACTCCATCGTGCTGGAGAACGTCCGTAGCACCCGGCAGCCCGAGGAGATGGTCCTCATCGACATCCTGGAGGTGAGACCCAACATCTGGAATAGCTCCATTAGAAAGTACGGCGTTCCATTGCTACAGTGATCCCTTACGATATCGTGCTTCATTTATCGCGGCTTCACTACATCGCGGTTTCCTTTTCTAAAGTACTGTATTCAGAAAAAAAAATGCCGAATGACTCAGAGGTTATTTCACATGGCTGTACGCATGATTGGTTCTCGGTGCGACGTCGACCAATGACGGCACGATTGGAAACGATGTTTTAAATGCAGGTGCGCGGGATCAAAGGAGTCTTCCTGGCCAATCAGAGGGTGGACGGCAAGGTGAGAACCGTCATCACCTACAATAAAGGACGAGATTGGCAGCCCTTGACCCCGCCTGCCACCGACATGAACGGAAAGTCGATCACCTGCAAAGCGGTAATAGCGCTCGCCATGTACGACATATCTCTGCACACAAAAATCGGTCTTTTTATTTGGACATCCGGACTACGCCTTCCGCGTTTACCAATGGATTCAAGTCATTCTACCTTTTTTTGGGGGGGGCTCATTCAAGACATGTTAGGAACGGTTTTCCACATTCGCTAAACGTGTACTTTTCACACAGTTGCAAATTTTTCCATCAAAATAATTGGCACGGATATGAATGTCGACATTTCCCAAATGGAACTCATCCTTCCATATTTCAAGGGCTCCACTTTGACAACGGTTCAGCTCATGGGGGCCATTTTGGGAACGATTGTCGACATTTTTCTTGAGTCTACATTTTCACAGGAATATTTTGACCTATTTCCCTCCTCCTTCCACATTTATCAACCACTCCAATTTCAGAATGTCTTCTTGAACGAGTTATGACCTTCCCCAAATTCCCACATTTTCATGGTAAAATTCTCAAATGAAGAGACATTTTACATATTTGCCTCCTTTTTCAACACATTCAAACCCTTGCGACTTTTTTGCAAACTATTTTACCTCATTCAGGATCACAGTAAAATTCCCAAATTCAAGACATTTGACAGACTTAGCTCCACCTTCCACATTTCGGCCGTTCAAATAATTCCACGACCAGGAATTCAGCTTGGGCTCTTTGGCGCGTGCACGAAACTGCGTTCCCCACTTAGTGTTTCCTTCCCTTCTCTAGCCCGACTGCCACCTCCACCTTCACCTGCGCTGGGCGGACAACCCCTACGTGTCCGGTACTGTCCACACCAAAGACTCTGCTCCGGGTCTCATCATGGGAGCAGGTGAGGGGGTTTATTTTTTGTTTTTGTTTTTTTCCCAGCCTCACAGATGTGCGATAATTTTCCTTCAGGTAACCTTGGCTCCAAGCTGGTTGAGTACAAAGAAGAAATGTACATCACGTCCGACTGCGGGAAGACATGGAGACAGGTACATCACCGTCGAGCCTCCACGCATCCATCGGCCGAGCCGGAAAATGTCCTTGCAAGTCCGGATACTTGTGTGATGTCAGATGTCGCTTACCTATGGGGTGATCAGGAATGTTTTCACCGACTCTCCATTGAAGGGGTTAAGACTTCCTTTATCCTTCGCCTGCTCGTACGCGGTTACCGGAGGGGACGAGAATTTCCAAAGCTGACGTTAGAGCAATTCGTCTATGTTTCTCACTACCTCAGTTTTCAGAAGTCAGTCCTGTTTTAAGCCCTTTCGTCCACCTTTATTGATTAACCTTAATAGAAAAAAGGCGAACGTCAGGCATCAGAAGACTTAATAGTGAAGCAATAATTCAAACAATCATCATCCATCAAAGAAAATGGAGCATATTGAGTTGATAATCGTCAAAATGTGAAAATGATTGCAACAATAAAATGATAAAATTCAATCAAAGAACAAAATGAATAGAGTCATCCGTAAAAAAGAAACTAAAATGATTTTTAAAAGGGTGGAAAGCATTTCGATAATAATCCGACATTGGGTGAAATCAAGAGTGATCAGTTCTTAAATGACACGATACCGCTTAAATTACACAAGTGCGAAGAAATAAGACACGACGGGCTCACTTTGTAATCTTAGTTTACCACATTGTCGGTGCAATTTAGTCCAAATGTAGACCCCTGCACAACTCGTCAGTGCATAATTAAAAAACATGCAAAATTAGCTCATGGCCAATATACTGAATGTATCATATATTATTTTTTAAGATGTGCTATTTTATTACTTCCCACCATTGCTTATTGAAACTGGAGCTCATCAATTTCCCGACTCATTAAGTCTCCCCCCCGTCAAGGTTTTTGAGGAGGAGCATCACATTCTGTACCTCGACCACGGTGGGGTGATCGTGGCCATCAAGGACACTTCGATTCCACTCAAGATACTCAAGTAAGCATTCTTGATTCATCATAATAATGAGCAAAGAATGGATGTTTTTCCGAAGTAAAAATTTTCCTTCTTAAAAAAAAAACATTGCAAATATTTTCAGATTTCATTTCAATTGAAAAAGACTGATGTAACATACTGCCCTCTTGTGGCCAAGGTACACGAGTCAGGAAGAACAGCACAATGTCCAGTGAATTGAACTAAAAAAAAAAAATGTTGCAAGAACTGGTTAGTTCTTTGTTTTCTATTCCATGTTTTTATTTGTGTTATTTTCCCTGCCCGAAGACAGCTGGGATAGGCTCCAGTACCCACCGCGACCCTCGTGAGGATAAAGCCGTTCAAAAAATTAATGAATGAATGTTATTTTCCCTACTAAGAAAAATGTGCACAAGTGACTTTGACTGCAAATGTGGTCACGGAACAAATTCAACTCCTAATGTTCACTATGACATTTGCCGCACAGGTTCAGTATCGACGAGGGGCGCACGTGGACGGTCCACAACTTCACCAGCACTTCCGTCTTTGTCGACGGGCTCCTGAGCGAGCCGGGAGACGAGACCTTGGTGATGACGTGAGTCAATCGCCCGCATCCCACCTTCGTTTTCCTTCCACCGCTCGAAATAGTCCACAGGGGTCCGGGGGGGGAACACGAGTGTGGATGATCGTATCCCTCCTCTCACCCAAAATCATCCGGGCTCGGCTCCAGCTCACCCGTGACCTAATAAGAACAAGCTGGATAGAAAATGGACCCTTGGATATTATGGGTCTTGTTGTCGGCACTCCATGTATAATGGATCAGCCGCTTCAGACTGATGACTAATTATCATCCAGAGCAGAAAATGAAGTTGGACTCCTTTCCCTTGAACCTCCAGACGATCGCTTTCCACTCTTGTCTCCTCACTGCGATTACTCGTTACGAGTGACCGTCGTGGAGGCTCTCTCTCTCTCTCGCTCACACACACACTACAATCTCACATCCCAATGGCATCCAATTTCTTGCTATTGTTCCCCCAACGAAGCCTTTGTCCCATCGAACCTCCCAAGGTTTCTTTCCGTTTGGGAGCTAAGGCCCATTTTAACACTTTACACGAACCCGCCAAGTGCCACTCGACCCATCACATTAAGGGAGTAAATACGATTTGGCCCAGAAGATTTTTTTTTTTGCCTTTTCTTATCATAAAAAAACAAAATTGTCTTTTTGAGAAGGGCGTCAATCACTCGTAAGTGAAATGTCCCCCATGAAATGAATGCTTATTCCATTTATCTGTTCCAGCCTCGTCCCTCCCAAAAAACACCACACAAGATTTCTACAATGGTTTTCCAGAAGTAAAATGGCACCCTGTAATATTATGTAACACAGAATAGGAGATGGAGATCTTTATGAAAGGTGCTTTTTGGCCACAAATGTTGCTGATGACCGCCCACCAGAGTGGAAAGTCCTCACGTCGGCTCGCTCTTCCCAATCTCTGTCATCAGCAAGTGAGCTGAAGTGCAACCTGTCACATCTCTTCTCGCTCCGACGGCAGATAAGGTCGGATAAGGCCCCTCGGCTATAATGCGCCGGGAAGGTCACAGATCGACTCACAAAGACTCACTTTTACTTCTGGGATTTTCCACCGCACGCGCGTACGCACGCGTGTGTTGGTGACGAGATGTGGAGGTTGTCCGATATGAATTAGAGCAGTGTTGCCAAGCCTTATATTTTACTTTAGCAAAATGTCACGGCAGGCCACGGAATACAAACGTCACACATTTTTGAAAGCGGAGCCTTTGTGCTTGTTTGGGCGCAGCGTCTTCGGCCACATCAGCTACAGGTCCGACTGGGAACTGGTCAAAGTGGACTTTCGGCAGTCATTCCCTCGCCAGTGTGCAGAGGCCGACTATGAGTCCTGGCAGCTCACTGATCTGCAGGTAACACACACACGCACACACACACACAAACAAGGGTGGCCCAAATCTTTAGCGAACGCTTACTTGGCATCGTTTCCTGTCAGGGCGAAAAGTGCATCATGGGCCAGGAGCAGACTTTCCGTAGGAGGAAAGACACTGCGTTTTGCGTCAAAGGAAAAAGCTACACTTCAGCTCTCGGGACGAAAGCCTGCCAGTGCACCGAACAGGACTTCAACTGGTGAGCCCGTAAAGATCGGAAAGAGCTGTGAGAACAAAAGGCTTCATTTTTATCACTTTTCTTGGCACGCGGCGTGTACAGCGACTACGGTTTCGAGCGATCCCTCGCAGAAAGCGGACGATGCTTTGCTGACTTTTGGCACCATCCGGACTCGCCGCCAGACGACTGCCAGCCGGGGCGAACCTTCGAGTCCAGCACGGGGTCTGTGCAACGACATGGAATGCATTGTCTTTGTTCTGTCTTTGACCACTCCACGATCACATCGCACTGAATCCATTTCCTGGTACATGCTGCATTTATAAAAATGAGAATCTGCAACAAACACCCCAATATGGAGAAGTTCACAATCACAATTTATCGAATATCGTGACAAAAACAATACGAAAAATGAAAACAAAATACGTGGTAATTTTTTGTTTTAGTACCAATTTGAGGGTGAAAAAAAATACTGACGCTACTGCGGGCCAGCTAGCTGGCCCTGTGAGGACAAATTGGAAAGTCCCATGGCTCATATCATTGAAGTTACATAGGCCAGCGTGACCAGCATGAGTTCTGAAGGCCCCGGGCAGATTAGCTTGGCACAGAGTAGAGGTGCCCCAAGTCCAGTCCTCGAGAACCCCTCTGCAGCCTGTTTTAGATGCCTTCCTCCTCCAACACGTCTGATTCAAGTTGCTCATCAGCAATTTTTGCAAAAGCCTGATAACAATCAATTGAATCAGGTGCGTTAGAGGAGGGATACGTCTAAAACAGGCTGGATCAGGGCTCACGGGGACCAAACTTGGGCATCCCCTGACATAGAGGTTGAAATCTGATAAAAAATAAAATAAAAGATCGAACGTCAGTGTGCAAATGAGGAAAAGAAAGTGCTGGGACTGATGGACCATTCTCCCCTTTTTTCCAGGTACCGCAAGGTGGTGTCAAATGTGTGCGAGGGGGGCCTGAACAAAGCACAGAGTGCCAAACAAAGTAACTGCCCTCTGCTGCCCCCTAAAGGACTGCAAGTGGGCATCAAAGGGCAAATGCTGGCTGTGGCCCCTGGTGATGACATCACATTCATAGTTCACCAGGAGGAGGTAGTGCTTTTCTTTCCACCCAATTTTTATCTATTCAGCCGAGCAACCCCTGCATCGTTCCAGAATTTAAATTAAAAAAAAAAAACTTTGATTAATGCTGTATATATTTTTTTCTGATCAGATAAATATTTTGAAAAAAAACCTGAAAAATAAGAGATTAACATTTGTTAGGGATACCCGCCATGTATAGCATCCTTTTTTTCTCCCGCGCTACAGGGCTCAAAAGGTTTTGTTGACAGGGTTGCGTTTAAATTGAGAGAAAAGTTCAGAGCACAAATGCAAGTACTGTATTTCAAATATGTGATGAAACCAAATGCTTCAACAATTACAACAAAACTGTACCCCGAAAAACTGATTCAAAACCTTTTTTATTTGTGACATTTGATCTGTAAATTTATCATCAAGAGAGAAAAAAAAAGCCAATTTAAGGAGTGCTTGGGTTCTGCAGCTGTGTAGTAATTAAAAAAAAAAAAAAAAAGGACTAAATGTGACTCCGTTTTCCTCCCCTTATTCCCGTGCTGCTCACCCAGGGCGACACGAGCAGCACCAAGTACCAGGTGGACCTGGGCGACGGCTTTCGGGCCATTTACCGGAACCTGACTGTGACGGATGAGCCCATCCAGCACCGCTACGAGAAGCCAGGCGTCTACAAAGTTTCCGTGCAGGCCGAGAACGCGGCGGGTCACGACGAGGCCAGCATGTACATCCAGGTCACAGGTCAGGATAATGCTTGGTTGGTTGGAAACAATGTACTCTGGCGTCCTCTAGTGGCTCAGAGTTTCATTGCAGCCATAAGGATGACGGGACGGTTGAGATCCGTTGGCGTTTCAGCACTCAGTGTACTTGTCCCGCGTGTAGCACCTCTGCAAGAAGTGCACCTGGAAGTGACGCCCATCGCCGGGAGGAACCACCAGGTCAACCTGACAGCCGTCGTCCTTCCCGCCGAGGCCAACCTGACCGTCTTCTACTGGTGGATCGGAAACAACCTGCAGGTAAATGCTCCTCGGAGGAAATCCGGAATGTTTTGGGCTGACTAACGTCACCTGCGGCTGCCGTGCAGCCAACGTTGACCCTGCACAACAGCGTGCTGACCAGCTTCCCAGAGGAGGGCGAGATTTTGGTGAGCGTCCAAGCCTCCAACGGGAGGTCCATGGTGCAGGATACCAGAAGGGTTCGCGTCTATGGTAAAAGGCCTTCTCACGCTTCCGCCACGTTAACCCTCAAGAAAGATTTTGGTCCAAATGTGTGTCCTACCCTGGCAGAAACCTTCCACGTCATCCCGCTGAGCTTTAGCAGGCACCTGGACCGCTTCAATCCCAACATTCCCGAGTGGCGGGAGGACGTGGGTCAGGTCGTCACCAAGATACTGGCCAAGGTAAAGGACAGTTAACAAAATTCCAACTGAGTGGGCTTAGTTGGAATTTTTTCAGCCCGATTTCGATATTTGGCAGATTAAAATTTCGATACCCCATCAATCAGACAATAAATTAAAAAAAAATAATGATAACTTTCTGGGGTTCCTTAATGGTGACCACAATAAAAATATGAATTATTGACAGAATATTTGACTGTTTGAGAAAACGTTGTCCTTTAGTATTCAACTTCACACCGGAGAGAGAAATCTGCTTTTTTTTTGGGGGTGAGGGGGTTTGAATGTCAATATTTTTTGCATTTCCTATATTGTGTTCATTTGTAAAAAAAAAAAAAAACAATCAACCAATTTTTCTGGATTTTTTTTTTCTTTTTTTTAAGAGTCAATGTCGATCAAATTAATCACTTGGGCGCTTGAAATAGGGACTGACTGATATGGAGTTTTTGAAGCCAATGCAGATTAAACAATCAATTCAAAAATATTAAAAGAATTTATTTTTTTGGCCCTTTTATTGCTTAGAACAATACAAATCTCAATTACAGGCAGAACCTTTTCAATACTTAATCCTTTAGTACTCATTTAATGTTACAACAGAGAGGAAAAACTGAGAAGAATTTCATAAGGGGAGCTTGCTTTATGAATTGAACACGACAAACTGGCAAACGCGCAAATACAAAATGAATACACTCACAAGGAGCATGGAGGCGAAACCCACACTGAACTCACCATGTGGTATGTCAGAGCTCCTCATGTCACAGACTAGGCCACGCCCCTTAAAGCCACACGGCATGTGAATGTGAGATTTGCCTTTATTGAACCTTCTAAAATGATCGATATTTTATTACTCTTCAAAGATTTGCGCTTTGTTGTAGGTCAATCACTTTGGTGGGTGGGCAATCGCTGTTCGAAAAGGTATGGATCAATTTTTGTTCCTTGGTGCGTTTGTCCCCTCAGGTGACAGGTGTTCCGCAGGAGTCCCTGGTTACCGTGGTGAAGGCGGGCCTGCCCACCGCCGCCGACCTGTACGTCCTCCCGACGGAGCGCACGCCAGCGAAAAGAAGCGTGTTTCAGGATAAGGTGAACGTCCACGCCTTTGCGCCTTTAAGTTTGCGCTCAAGATTCACTGCTCAAGTGCAGTTCGGTTGTATTTAACTGTTGCGGTCTCTACATTATGGTTTTTCAACCTCTTTTTAAAAAACAATTTTTTTTTAAACGTTGTGCATCCACAGCGTATTCCAGCCATCATGCAAGCTTTCAAAGAGCACAACGTCAGCTTTGTGGTGCGAGGAGGTCTCCAGGTCCTGGTGCTGCCAGCGGACCCAAACGCAGGTACTGGTCTTACACCTCCGATCCTGGTGGAAAACTCCGCGGCTTTTGTTTTAATGGCCGATTATTGGTTTATCTCCCGAAGGGCTAGCTCGAAATGCTGTTGAGGCCACAGCAACAGAAAGTGGTGCGTTGGTCAGTCTTTCTCCTGCCGCTTTCCATTCGGAGAGCTTCCGCTTTCACCTTTTTTTTCCCCCCCTCCTCTTCTCTCCTGGTTTCCTAACAAGCCTTCGGATCGCCCTTTGCTCCATCGCATGAATGCTGAGAGACGCCGTTGGTTATTTGCAAGTCGTATTGCTTCCGAGGGAGAGCAGAGAGTAAACAATTGTTCCAAACCGTGGCGACGGCTTATTTAATGCCACTCTCTCAGTTGAAGTCGACTGTCAGCTGAAACGTCAAACAAAGAGTGACAAGTGTTCTTTTTCAGACAAGCCTGAGGAAAGTTCGCTACGCTCAATGCGAAGCAAATCACGCTTGATGCGGCCATTCAGCTTCTCTAAGCATTCACGTGCATTTGGGGAGAGTCTTTGCCGCTACTTTCTCGATTGTTTCATGGATGGTACCTAAACATCTCCTGCAACCTCTCTTTTGAAATGTTTCAAGGTCCGATATTTGTTTTTGTCAAGCCTCTTCTTTTTTTGTAAATTTTGTCATGGCCGCAGGTCACGGAGCTGCCGGCGGTCCTGGCGTCTGGGCCGTCGCCGTCATTTTCCTCATCAGCGTCGCGGCCACGGCCTCTTTCATTCTCTACAAGTTCAAGAGGTGGGTGTCATGCACTCGGTCGCCGCAGAGCTGGCCCAGGCCCAAGCCTGGGGTACGATGAAAGACCAGAGCGATATAAAAAAAAAAAAAATCAGAAATCTAATTTTGCTCGGGGGCGTGCGTGGGCCACCTCTGCTTTTGTGTATCATCAAATGATGAAAGTGATTCGGGCATGACATCTTTAAAATTGGCTAATGTCTCTGCAGACATTTATTTTTTTTTCTTACACATTACAACCTAAGACAAAGATATCATTACATTTGCACCGTGCCCCACCCTCAAAAAAAAGGAATTTTGCAGATTTTCTCTCTATTGTAAGGTTAAAGAAATACTAAAGTCTTGTAAAACAATCCAAAGTTCTGACTGTAATTTGTGCCCACTTGAAACTAGCTATGCCAAGACTCCGAAATGACATAATCCATTCAAACTACAGACCACTTTAGAGTGCCTTGTTGTTGGCCAAGAGTGTGCACATGTCCCCCAGAGAAAGCAAGAAGGGGTGGAATATGGATTATTTTTTTGAAGTCCGACTTGACAGCCAGCATATGAACAGGGGCTTCGCGCTGGCGAGGCTTCTTTAGAGCACCTTGTTGTTGCGTCCGCAGGGCGCAAATGATGACACCGTACATTGTTTAAGTGCATGCCTTGTTTTCATGCACCAGCAGCACCTCCTTGTTCGCAGCCCTCGCACCAAAAAGTCACATGAATGAAACCAAAAAGTAAATAAATCAGAGCCCCTCTCTTACAACCCCTCCCCCCAACCCCCCCAAAAAAATCCTGCAGTCCTTGGCTCAGGACTGAGGAGGTCTATCCCCCTCTGTTTTTCAGGAAGCTGCCAGGCAGCCGCAGTGTCTACGCCCAAATGCACAACGAAAAGGAGCAGGAGATGACCAGTCCTGTCAATCACAGCGAAGACACACAGCACATCATCCAGGGTGAGGAGTTCATCGACGACGACCTGGACTCGCAGACGCTAGGTAACGCGGGAGCCAGCCCCACCTTCCGCTCCCTCATACGGACCACCACTAACCACTGCTACTAAATACCGCGCCACTCAAAGACACGCCAAGGTACTATTTGTTTTTGTTTTTTTTTTTTTTTACATTCTTGTGACTGACAATCGTTTTGACGTCAACACATTCACTGCCTTTGACGGCTATCAAAGTTCAATAAATTCCATTTTTAACAGGGCTGCCAATCATTAATAATCAAATTTTGCCTTTAGTACATGGTTGTAAATTTTGGTTTTCCAGTTGTAACGACATTTCAAGTCATTTAGAAGTGAGTTGTGCACAAATTCTAAGTTGCGTGTTTGTAGGGCTCCGTGACCAAAATTGTCATAAAAATCCATTTTCTGATTTTTATCATTTCAAAATTTTTCCCTTTGCTTTCAGACAAAGAAAATGAGATCTTTCAAACATGTTTTGCTAGAAGAATAGCCACACCTCCGTATGCAGCTTGGTTGTTGTTAGGAACGGTGCACATCAGCGAAGACGCATGTTGAACAACTGAAGCTGCTTAAAAAAAAAAAAAAAGTACTAATAAATTGGATTATTTTGATTCCTCCATCGAGTAGTCACCTAGCCCTGTGTATACGTAGTAATACATTCGCTTTTATCATTTCCTTACCCCCTTGCTCTTGTTGCTAGGTAACCATTCAGGCGTGGTGCTGGGTGTCAACTCCAGAGAACTCCGCAGTTACCTGAGCAGCTGATTGCTGCCATGGCGACGGCTCTCACGAACACAGGGATTTCACTCCGCCTTCAATCCACCTCCTCTAAACAAACACACACACACACACACACACACACATCCCGAAGCTTGGTGGGAACCCGGTTCCATGGAGACCCTCTTCCGAAGGGTGTCAGCCCTAAATTCCACGCTTCTCACCATAACCACCACCACAACCATCCCCCCTTGATTAACAGATGAAAGTCGGCGGCACGGAGGGAAGGCGTACTTTTTTTTTTTTTTTTAA